ACTGGAACATACCCCCTCTGCCTTATTTCATCTCTCTACCAAACAGGACATTGTCAAGTAGCTCAGACCAAAATGCTGATCTGTCTTAAAACTGTGTCGGTCTGCTGGTGAATATTCACCGGCAGAGCTTTACATAAACCCATGAGATACTTAATTTATCATGTTAGCATCCCCTTTCCTCCCCAAATTTTCTCATCTGTTGTAGGCCCCACTTCAGGATTCGAACTGCCTTTGCTGAATTTTGTAGCAGCAGCAGCTACTTAAGCCCTGTTCCCTGAATGTGGTAGCTTTGTGTGCGGCTGATGCTGGCATGTTGCGGTGCTCTAGCAATCTGAAATGATTAAAACGGAAGGAATCCCAAGAGCATGGCAGTGGCGTGCCAGGGGCAAACCGTGCAGACTGCACAGCCCCCTTGAGAAAGAGCACCCGTGACGGCGTCCCGAGGACAAGGCAGTTGAGACAAACCCTTTAGTTCTTCCCCCATTCACTCTCCACGTGTCGGCCTCTGTGACCCCGGTGCTCCCTGCACCCGAGCGAGTCCAAGGGGAAAGCGCAACGCGAAAGACTTGGAGCTCAGCGCCGCTCCCCGCGAGTCCCGGGGAGCTGGCACGGGCCTCCCCGCGCAGTGGGGAAGGGAAGGGAAGGGATCGCTGCAGAGCCGCCTGCGGGCGACTTGCAGGGTCTGGAGCAGCGCTGGTCCCCTCACGTGCCAGCCCTCTGTGGGAAGGACCCGGGCAGTGGTAGCTGCTTCGTCCCCGCCAGTGCTATTGTTCCATTTCCTTCCTCTGTGTAGTATCTAAGGCTAGGTGTGAGTAGGTGTGGGGTGTTTATCCGCCACAGGTACAGGAGCTGTCGTATACCTCATTTCTAACTCGTAACTGAGTAACTTGCTTTAACTTTCTCCAAACCCTACAGAGTTGCCAAGTCTGCCCTCCCTCCTTTGATTAACACTGAACTCTGGCCTATAGCACCCCGTGACCTGCAACCTGGGGAGTGACCCCCTAACGCCTCTGAATGTCGCTGCTTAAAAGCTACTGCAAAGTGAGGGCAAATTGCAATCGTACCTTTATTTCCTTTGGTTACAAGGGGTCCTCTTGATTAGTCTGTGAATATCCACCCCCTTCCCTCCACTCTCCGCGGAAAAGGGCTGCCCGCACTGCCTTTCCCACCCGAGGGCAGCGGGGCTGTGCTGAGCTCCGGGGCCCGGAGGCACGCTCGGCCCAGTGCTGCATACGTGCTACTCGCTTTTTAACATGACCAAAAAAAAAAAAGAAACAAAAAAGGAAAAAGAAAAAAGAAAAAAAAAAGAAATCTCCAGATATTTAATTTTCTTCTTTATTATTTGACAATCCTGTATCCCTTCCCCTGCTCCCCAACCTGGCCAGAAGCTGCATCCTTAACCCGGTCCATCTTCATTTGAATGTAGTTCCCCTACCCCCATGGGAAAGAGAAGCTTTGTCAGGTCACGGAGGCTGCTATAAGTCGGGAGGGGGAGGTTTCTTTGTTTTGTTTTGTTCTTTTAAAATTTCCAGCCAAAACCAAAGATTTCCTAATGATTGTATAAACTCAAAACAAACAAACAAACCAAAGACAAAGGGCGTCTTCAGCACCAAGTCCACCTGTGAGGCCGGGCCTGGCCGGGGTGAGGGTCTCTGAGCCCTGGCCCAGGGGCTGCCCCAGGCGAGGGGACGCTGCCCCGGGCCAGCCTCCGGAATGCCCTGGGCACAAACTCATGGGCCCAGGCACTGGGAGAGGGCGGCCTTGGGCTTCGCAGGTGGGTTGAGGAGCTGAAGACTTGGGTGCAGGATTGGCTGCTCTGCTGGGTGCTTTAACCCTCTGGGGGCTGGGTGATGTTGATTAATACACGCTGAGGTGCACTTCTGAGCTTCCCCCCTCCCCCCGTCACTGCTTGGAAGAGGCTGTCCTGTGTGAGAAATCCCTGAAAGAAGAAAAAGCAGCTTTTCATTTCTCCTCTAGTTCCTTTTTTCTAGATTTCTTTTCTTTTTGCAGCACCACTGTGCAACTATGCATTGTATTTCTCAACCTTTTATGCTAGGTAGATGCCTGTGACTTTTTAACTTTTGGGGGGGGTTGCAAATGGAGGAACTTTTTACATGGATCTTTTTAATCTCAGTTGATTGGGGGGTGTTTGGTTCTAGGGTCATACAAGCTCTATCCCAAAGCAAAATCCAAATGTTAATATTATTAGCCTGATGCAGATACCAAAGATAATTTCTTTCCTGCAGAACCTTAGACTTGTGTATTAAGTACGATTACCCAGCACTTGCATTAGTCTAACCTCAGTAATTCCAAAGCTTAGATGTATATTTTGGTATATTTCTGGGATATTAAAAAATTGTCGTTTAAATTCTTGTTTGTTTCAGTGTAATGCTCTTAAAGTCATAGCATGGAGAAAACTGAACTTGTCCTATTCTTAGTAGTTTGAAATAATAGTATTTTTGTATGTTTTGGGTGTGTCTATGTATGTATTAACATAACAGTTTTCACTGCCTAGGTGTTCATAAATAAAGAAAGACAACAACTAAGGGTTTTTAAACTGTACATAATATTCCATGAGGAATTTCCACCAGACCGCCAATTTGGATCGCATTTTCACTGACGGCCACTCCCAACTGGGATTCTTTCTTTCTTTTTAAAGAGACAGCATGTTCTTTTGTTTTCCCCGTTGACCTGAGGGTCTTTCTTAGCAGAAAGGGGGTTTCACTGGTTTTAAGGGATGGCCCAAAGAAGAAGTAGCTTAAATTTTGATTTTTAAAACCAATGTTTGACACATTAGTTTGAAAACTGACCCTCTGCACAAGGAATGGGGAGTGGAAAACCAAGCCCTTTCTTCTAAAGCCGGTGATGGTTTCCAGAGAGGCGAGGATCCGTGAGCGCCTGTAGCGCCTGGGCGGTCCCTTTTCACTTTGTTTCTGCTTAGGACAAACTTTGGGGCTTGATGGTTTCACTGCTCTGTGCAGCTGCTTACACTGGCTGGGAGGGGGTTTTTTGCTTGCCCTTCCTCATACGCTGCATCTGTGGGTGTCAGGTCAGCAGAACACTTGAAATGGAGGGCCATGTGGGAGTACTCGTTCCCAAACGCAACCCAAGCTCTTCTTGAGACTGAAATGTGAGAGTCCCACACATTTCAAAACCTTGCTGATCACACTAGGGGTGAGGAGGAGGAAGGCAAAATGCTGTCTCTTATTATTATTATTATTATTTTCTCAGTGGTTGCCTACAGATAGCTGTAGGCATTGAGAGATTGTGTAGATTACAGTAAATCAGAATGAAAAGGTAGATTTTGTGTAGATGCATTTGTCTGCTGTAATTTTTTATATATATTAAACTTACTGTAATTGTACAGTTCATTTCTGTTGTAAACATCATTAAACCATTTTCCAAGTGTTTTAACATGTATGCACTTGTTTGTAGTTTTTTACCTGTGCTGGGGGAAGGAAGGCTAAGTCCACTTCCCCCAGTGCATCAAACTGGGCAGCAGGTTGTTCGGTTGTGCTCTTGGTCTTGTCAAACTAGAGAGCCCTGATTTCTCTGCACACCATTCGAAGTATCTGCTCTGTTCTACTTCTGTATTATCAATTCCTCTCCTGAAAGAAAAACCAGCTTCAGTTCCTTCCTGAAGGCAGAGAGAAGACTCAGCTCACGCCTACGGTGAGTGCCCCCGAAACAAGCACCAGATGCTGCTTGATGCGAGTTCCATTTATATCTAAAGAGCTTAAAGGTTATTTCCCCCCTCACCTCCCTAAGAGTTTCTTCCCCATTGTTCATAGGGAAGGTATTTTATGACTGCCAAAACTTGTGACTTCTACATCTTGCAAACATGGTTATCACCATTTAAAAAAAGAAAGCTATTTTCAGTACTCTTCATTCTTGCATCAAGAACCTAAGTGCTTTCTAGTAGCAACGTTACCGTAACTTGTACCTTTCCCACAGCTCTCCACCACACCTGCACACACACAGGTCTTTCTTTGACACAAACTTTATTGATTCATCAAAAATGCATGATTGAACTGGTATCTCTTTGGAATGAGACCTGCAGCGCTTTTAAAGGTAACCTGGTGATGGACTGCTCTGGAAACTGCATTTACAGTGTTTTTTGGATGTTTTTTGTTGGCCAGAAGTGACAGTTAGGGACTGTTTCCGACATGAGAGTTCCCAACCCCATCCTAGCAAGAGGAGCCTGTTTCTGCAGCGATAGGTAAAACACTTCACCCAAATGGGATTCTCCAGGGTGAGTTTTCCTGGCTTTTCTAATATTACTATTGTTATCCAGGTCTGTTCTCCTATCATTGTAACAAGGGATCTTCTGCATTCTGAGAAGTCTCTGATGCAGGTTACCTGGCTCCTGGTTTGCTCCAAGTCCTGGATGAGTGGCAGTGCCAGGGCTTGATGTTTTCTTGGAGCTTAGTGCATGTTTTCTTCATGTTGCAAAGCTGCTGTTCAGCTGCTGTCCTTTGCTACAGCAACAGTGCATCGCTTTTTGCAGTTAAAGAAGAAGTTGTCTTCCACTGAAGCAGTTTTTAAAAGGTAGCTTTAAAGCAAGAAGTTTAGCTGGCCTGTGTCAAATAGGCTTAAGGTAAATACTGCAGGAAATAACTACAGCCCTATCTTTACAAGTTCTTTAAATGCACTGAAACGATAATTATGCATCTTAATACCCCTGGAAGGAAAGTAAGAGCTATGGAAACAGCTGTGTTGTTAGTAGGTGCGGGCTGATCCCACAACACAAATCTCACAAAGAATCAACTTTACAGGTATGTACATTTTGCTAGCTAAAGCCTGTGGTTACATGGTTCAGGAGGGAAGGGAGAAAGGACTGACCAAGTCTAGCCATACTCTCTCTGAGCACCAACCAGTAGGTTGTTGCACTGAGAAAACACACAGTGCTTATTGTGGATGGAAAAGGCTGTCCCTCTTCCCCTCCCCTCCCCAAAGCAGGTGGGCATCTCACACTCTGCCCACCCCTCTGTGACTCCCACTTAGCGGCGGGGCAAAGGCTGCATCTGCAGAGCATCGTAGGTGTCCTTGGTTGCTGTACTGAGTCCCTGAAAAAGAAAAGAAACAGGTGAGTACACATCGAGTGCTTCCCTCTCCCCGCTGACTGGTCAGAAACAGGGTGGCAGGTTTCAAAGACAGGTGCCATTAGCTACAAATATGCCGTGTAACAGGAAATCTTCCTGGCATGTGCTGCATCAGAAGCAGCTTTTTATATACATTTGCTTTTGTCATTTTGAGATGTCAGTGGCAATGTTCAGGCTTCTACAGAAAGTAAAATGCATTTTGGAACAATTAATGCCTGGCAGCCAGAATAAGGCCTTACTGACAGACTCCTTGCTCTCAGTGAGCTGTGTGCAACTCTTAACCCTGCCAAGGCACCAAGGGACTGAGGGTGCTGACCAGTGTGTGCTCTGTATGTTACTGAGGTAGGCTGAGCCACTGAAGCTTTGAGCTATGACTGCTGTTTGGCAGCTTGAAGGTTTCCATGTAAAGCAATAAGCAATCTAGAGGCACAACTGTATGTGTCACCCAAAGCAGTCAAAAGGTGGTTCTCTAAGATGTAGGACTGTGGAAATGGTTCCTACCAGAGCAGCTAAACAAGTGTTCCTGCCATTTGTGTTTAGAATGTGCAGTTGCTTTACCAAAGTACCAGCAGTGTGGTCTTTGCCCTGAATCTGAGTGACCATCCTCAGAAGGATGCACTGAAATCTCTGCTTCCTCACGCACCTATGGGAGCGCTGTTAGATCTGTAACTACAGGCTGCAATTAAGCCATGAGGGCAGATGAGGAGAGCAGCTGCTGGAAGTGTTACCTACCTGGTAGACGCCGTCATTCCCTTTGCCTCGCCGTCTCTGCTGCTTTGGGAAAGAAAAAGCAGCATAGATTAATGGGTGCTTTCCCAGTTACACAGAAGGAAAGAAACCCCTGACTGCCCCCATCCCATAGTGAGGGTCACTGAGCTGTGCTTGGCCTGGACACCCCTCTGCACAGGAGGTGAAGCACCTGCAAAGTCTGGACCAGCCCAGACACACAGCAAGGGCTGTGAAAGAGAAAATAGCAAGGATTGGAAGGAAATTATTTTGGTTTCTGGTATATTTTCCTGTCATACTGTTATCATGCTGCTATTTCTTTGATTTACTCCATGTATGAAGATCTGGCAGCGTGCCTATAGATACTGGTTGTTTTATGAGCTGAAGGCACACCTGGAAGCTGTATTTTTGAGTTGCTGCATGACAGCTGGTGTCCGAGGGAATCTGCCCTCTGTTGGGCAGACATTGGTAAGCAAATTGACCAGCACGCATCTTGTAAGCTCTCCAGATGTTCAAAGGAACCACAGATAAGGCTGTCTGAGGACAAAGTCATCCGGGATTCAGTAGAACAGGTACTGAGACTGCCATGGTAGAAGTCACACAGTAACAGTAACAGCCATAAAAACATGGTGTGACTTCATAACCCATGGCTCATAAACGGAGCTTGGCTGTGGCACAGGGGCTTTAGGATAGAAAAAGGAGATGGCATTAAACATCAGCGTTGCTTCAGCATTTCTCATCACTAAACTTTGTTTTGAAAAGGACTTTTTATGTTTTTCAGGGGGAAATGGAAGGTTATAAAGACACTCTGACATAAAATAGAACCTGTGTAGGTCACATCAATTTTCCATTCTGTCATCAGCAATGTCCCCAGGTGGGTGGTTTTCAACACAAGCTTCCCTCCCTTGGCAGTTTGTGCACAGAGCTAAAACTAGCCATTTGCTGCTAGCCTGAGACTTAACCAATGTGTTCCTTCTTAAACACTGGAGAGTGGAGGTGGAAGGAGGAGAATGTTTCCCCCGTTACCTGTCTGAAGATGGGTACAAGGTGGAGCTTGCAAATGCTCAGCTGTGCCTACAGAGCCAGAGGGGAAACAATGGAACTCCAGCTCTGAACTTCTCTGGAGGAACATGCTCAGCTACTGTGAGTTGCTTGGCCACAAACGTTGCACTGCTTGAAACCAGATGTTTCCTTCAACTGTTCCTCACCCATCTCATGCCCTCTGTCTCCTCAGCTGGGGCAGCTGTCAGAACTATTCTGTCCAAAAGTTGAAATGTTTTCCCTTGATATTATTCAATGCACCCAGGGACACTGCTGGAGTATGGGCTGTGTTCCTAATCCTGATGGCACCAAGCTTACTATCTGATCTCCACCTAGTTTTGTGGCTACTTAATGCTATACCTACATGTGTTAGTTACTGCTACACCAAACATAGTGGTTACTACAGGAAATAAGTAACTGCTCTCAGCTGTGCCTGTAGGTGCTGTGCAACACTGGGACTTCATTGTGTGAGGCAGTTATGTGCAGCCAGGGCTACTGC